GGGGAGTTGGGGGGGTGGTCATGTGAATGCCATTTTAAAACTAAGATGTATTAGTGTGTTTTGTGCGAGCGGGTCGCTGCTGCGATGGGGTAGGGGCTGAGGATCGCGATGTCATCTCAGTAATGTGATCGGCAATGGATGATGTCTATCGGCCATCGGCAATGGATGATGGCATCGTCTATCAACCCAAATAGTTAAAACAACATAGTATGTTACATTCTCAGTTCAAAAAAACTCATAATGTTGAGTTTTACAATGTTTAACTAATAATTATTATTTGTTTCAACTCAGTTCTTTATCGGTTCAAAAAACTAATAAAAGCTCAAATTTTCACTAGTCTGCTCAACATATAAAAATGTTAAAATCAATATTGCACACGCTTAAACATGGTTTATACATACAATTGTTGTAAGAAAAACTATTTAATTCATCTCTATTTCTATAGTACGTTTTACCATGTAGATTGTGTCGAAGCAGCTTATATTGCTATATTATATATTAAATTATTATATTGCTATTTTGCTTAAAATGAATATAGTTGAAGGCAAAATTATTAGCCCTGCTGTGATTTTTAATTTAATTCTTTTTCAAATACAGTATATCTCAAGTGATATTTAACCTGTTAGCCAGCACTCACTTATGGGGATTTACTCCTACCTAACTTTAAATAGTAACAGTTATAGTAAAAGAGCAAGGATATTTTGACAGAATTTTCTATATTATTTTAATTTTTAAGGAGAAAGTCTTCTTTATTTTAAATGAAATAAAATATTTTTTTTAAATTGCAAACAATTTTTGAGGTCAACATTATTAGTCTCCTTAAAATTTTTTTTTTTTTTTCAATTTTCTACAAAACAATAATAAACTTTTAACGTAATTAATTTAGTTAGGCATTTAAACTTTAAGCTAAATACTGGTCTCTTGTAAAATATTATGTACTGTCATCATGGAAAAGACAAAACAATAGTTATTAAAAGTAAGATATAGAATTACTATTATTATATTTAAAAATACGTTGAAAAAATTACAATAAATGGGGATATTTTTAAAAGAGATAGCATTTCACAGGAGGGCTAATAATTTTGACTTCTGACTTCTGTGACTGTTTATGAAAAGTGCATAAAGGCGCTCTCATGCATTAATTCATTCATTCATTTATTCATTCATTCATTCATTCATTTTCTTTCAGCTTAGTCCCTTTGTTTATCAGGGGAACTGCCAACTTATCCAGTATATGTTTTACACAGCGGATGCCCTTCCAGCTGCAACCCAGTACTGGAAAACACCTAAACACTCTCAGGCACACTCATACACAACAGCCAACTTAGTTTCTTCAAATCACCTTTAGCGCATGTCTTTGGACTGTAAAGGAAACTGGAGCACCCGGAAGACACCCACGCCAACACAGGGAGAACATGCAAACTCCACACAGAAATGCCGACGGACCCAGCCAGGACTCGACCCAGCAACCTTCTTGCTGTTAGGTTACAGTGCCAACCACTGAGCCACTGTGTCGCCTGCTGGTTCAGTTGGAGTTTCTGGAGTTTGCATGTTCTCCCCATGTTCGCGGCGGTTTCCTCCGGGTGCTCCGCATTCCTCCACAAGTCGTAACACTTGCGGTATACTGTAGGTCAGGGGTGCTCAATCCTGTTCCTGGAGATCTACCTTCCTGCAGATTTCAGTTGCAACCCTTATCAAACACACCTGTCTGTAATTATCAAGTGGATTTCAGGTCCTAATTAATTGGTTCAGGTGGGTTTGATCAGGGTAGGAGCCAAACTGTACAGGAAGGTAGATCTCCAGGAACAGGATTGAGCACCCCTGCTGTAGGTGAATTGGGTAAGCTAAATTGTCCATAGTGTATAAGTGTTTTCTAGTGATGGGTTGCAGCTGGAAGGGCATCCACTGCATAAAAACATATGCTGGATAAGTTGGTGGTTCATTCCGCTGTGGCGAACCCTGATTAATAAAGGGACTAAGCCGAAAAGAAAATGAATGAGTAAATGAATGAATGAACAAACGAATGAAAGGATGGATGAATGTGAATTACATTATAGGATGTTAATCTCTGTTCTGTCTAGTTTTGATGATGAAAATTCGACTTAAAGTTAACAAAGTGATTTTTATTGTAATTTTAGTAGTTTGAAATATAATATAATGTATAAGAAATAATATATAGAGAAATAAGTCAATAAAATAACAGAAAAAAGTGCTGGCAGTTTATTACCAGGTTTTTGTATGGTAATTTACAACAGCAAACCAGACAATATATCACATCAAACTATTAAAAATGTCAATAAAAGTCACTTTTTACAAATCATCAGGGTCCCGTGGTGGAATTAAAAGCATAAATATAAAAAATAACAACAACATAAATCACAAAATACAAAAAATTGTTAATTTATGAACATTTTACAGTGTAGTATAAATAATAGTAATTGATAATAATTGAGCGAGTTTGATTCGGTGGAGCAGTTTTTTTAAGTAAATATGCTAACCCCAATAACCGTAGGTCAATGGTTAGCACTGTCACTTCACAGCAAGAAAGTTTGGGCCAGTTGGCTTTTCTGTGTGGAGTTTGCATATTCTCCCCGTGTTGGCGTGGGTTTCCTCTGGGTGCATCGGTTTCCCCCACAGCCCAAAGACATGCGCAGTAGGTGAATAAACTAAATTGGCCGTAGTGTATAAGTGTGTGTGTGAATGTGAGAGTGTGTGGGTGTTTCTTAATACTGAGTTGCGGCAATGCATCCGCTCTGTAAAACATATGCTGCAATAGTTGGCGGTTCATTCCGCTGTGACGACCCCTGATAAATAAGGGACTAAGCTGAAGGAAAATGAATGAACGAATGAATGTTGCCTTGCTAACACTAATTATTCTCGAGCAACTGATTTTTCACAGCTTCGTCTGCTGTCTAAACATTTCTCTGTTGATGGGTTGTGTCTTTTCAGGTTGAATCTCAGATTGCATGTCTTATGAAATGATTACGCACATGGAGAGATCTGACTTTTTTTTTTTTTTTTTAATCTGCTATGGCGTGAACCTCTTGCCTGCTGTTGCCAGTCTGTTCTTACTGTAGGCGTTGGGAAATATTTATGAAGCAACACTTCCCACTATTGGTTGAATGTGGATAGTGCAACATTGCTGGAATGTCTTGCCACCAGCAAGAGAACATTATTTCAGTCAGTTGCCCCACATCTGCTCATGCAATTAATGCTATTATCATGTACATTATTAATAATGATATAATACAAGTTGTTAGACTAAATGTAAAATGTCATTTAAAATCCGCTCAGTAAATAGTTTACAGTAGTATTGTTTTGGGTATAATGTGATTTTAATTTGATTTAATCAAATTAGTTTATTTTATGTTATATTTATTATATTATTATTTAGTATATTATTATTAAATTATAACAACATTACAATGTTCATATTAATTCATTATATTAAATTAGACTAAATGAAATGGGGGGGGGGGTCATGTTGGCACAGTGGGTAGCACAATCGCCTCACAGCAAGCTGGTTCGAGCTTCGGCTGGGTCAGTTGGCAATTCTGTGTGGAGTTTGCATGTTCTCCCTGTGTTGGCGTGGGTTTCCTCCGGGTGCTCCGGTTTCCCTCACAGTCCAAGCTAAATTGTTCGTAGTGTATGCATGTGTGTGAATGAGTGTGTATAAGTGTGTATGGATGTTTCCCAGTGATGGGTTGCGGCTGAAAGGGCATCCACTGCATATGCATAAACATATGATGGATAAGTTGGCAGTTCATTCAGCTGTGGCGACCCCTGATTAATAAAGCCGGAAATTAATTAATTAATTAAATTAATTTAATTATTTATTTATTTATTTATTTATTTATTTATTTATTTATTGACAATTAATAAGATAGCAATTTATAGATATTTTTTTTTAAATAATACATAGAATAACTTTCATTCATTCATTCATTTTCTTGTCGGCTTAGTCCCTTTATTAATCTGGGGTCGCCACAGCGGAATAAACCGCCAACTTATCCAGCAAGTTTTTACGCAGCGGATGCCCTTCCAGCCGCAACCCATCTCTGGGAAACATCCACACGCACACATACACTCATACACTACGGACAATTTAGCCTACCCAATTCACCTATACCGCATGTCTTTGGACTGTGGGGGAAACCGGAGCACCCGGAGGAAACCCACGCGAAGGCAGGGAGAACATGCAAACTCCACACAGAAACACCAACTGAGCCGAGGTTCGACCCAGCGACCTTTTTGCTGTGAGGCGACAGCACTACCTACTGCGCCACTGCCTCACCAGAATAATTTTCATATAATTGAATATTTTTTTCTTTGAATAGGTATTGTTTCTAAAACAAACAAAAAAAATGTGTCTTTCATTTAAAAAAAAAAAAAAACTTACATAGTTACTTTACCCACACATGTACACTGTAAGTTAACTCAAAATGTTTGAAGAAACCCATTGTGGCAAACCTTTTACGTTATCAAACCAAATGATTTGAGTACTGTACCTTTATAAATATATTATTTGTGTTTATATAATCAAACATTCAGAGTATTAAACATTGTAAGTTCAGTTATCAGTTATGAGTTTACTTAATAGAGTGAATTCAAACGAAATGAAGTTTAAACAACTATATAGCTCCTCAAATTCTTTGATATTGCTTGTAGCATTAAAGATAAATTAACACAAAAAAAAAAAGTGCGCTGTGCGTTTACACCGTGGCCATATTCATCTATGTAAACACACGAAAACAACATTAATATTATAGCAGACACAGTAAAAAGCTCATTCTCAGCCACTAGACTGTTCTGACAGGGGATTCGAGTGTCGAGGTCTTGGGACTTACACCTTCAAGCTAAGAGAATTGGGAGAGCTAAGGGGTAGAATTGGGATTGGGCCTAAGTTTTAAATATCTGACTATGCAGTCTAAATCCTCCATTGGTCATGTTCATTGTCTGTGGTCGTGCGTATTAATAGAGTCTGTGTTTTTTCTTCCCAGAGTTTCCTCAGTAGAAGACTGAAGGGGTCCATTAAACGGGCCAAGAGTCAGCCCAAGCTGGACCGAACCAGCAGCTTCCGCCACATGATCCTCCCTCGCTTCCGCAGCGCCGACCAGGAGCGGTAAGTCCCAAACCGTACCCCTAAAACACACATTTTGCATCATGAGCATCTTGCTGTGTCATGATGCTCACTTCAGAGCCGGTCTGGACTGTCTTAAAGTCCCCCAAAATCAAAAACAGGTATTAATATGTTGCTCTTACGTTTGTCTATAATATGCTCCAAAATCATAAAACCGTAAAGCTATACAATACTTTAAGAAAATAAGCAGTCTTCAAAAAGTTTCTTACTTCCACCAATTTGTATGACATCACTGGACACTTTAGCTTCTCAGCAGATCTTCTGACCAATCAGATGCTCTGAATTATCTGAAGAGTCCCGCCCCCTACATGACTAATGCATTAGTTTTATTCTTTAAACGTCTCAAAACATTTCTACCAAAATTCAAATACATACAAATCTTGTCATGGGAAGCATTTTATTTCCCAGAAATGTACAATTTTAGTGTGACTGAAATTTGTTTTTGTTTTTTTAGCTATTAATATACATTTTAAAACAGTTGAAACATTAAGAGAATGGCTCACACTACAGATCTTGCTGTTAACAAACCATTAACTAAGACTTTTAGCTCAGTAAAGAATTTGCTGCTTATTAGTTGTTTAATAGTTTGTTAAATAGTTGTTAAAGTGGTTGTTGGGTTTAGGTAGGATTAGAGATGTAGAATAAGATCATACTTCAGAAGGACTAAGAGACAGCCAATAACTTGATAATAAGCAGGCAATAAGCCAGTAGTTAATAGTGAGAATTGGTACAACATTGGTTCAAGTTCAAGTCCATTTGTTTATAAAGCACATTTAAAAACAGCCACCAGACTTACTAAATGCTGTACATAAGACAAGGTAGAATAAAGAGACAGGTTATAAAAGACATACAAATAAATCAAGAGAAACGACTGAATAAATAAAAAAAAATGAAGCAGTAGAAAGGACTATTAAAATAATATTAAAAAGTCAAGCTAAATAGGTATGTTTTTAGGAGTGATTTAAGCCAAACACTGGTATAGTGTTAAACCTCAGATGTCTAAAATTATAACACCATTTTATTATTATTTTACCCCTGGCATATGAATCATTTTGTGCTTGGCTGTATATATTGCATGGTTGCCACGAATAAATTCTGTATAATACTGATTATCAAATCACCATATTTTAAACAGATTTGAATTAGAAATGTTTTATGTTATACATATCTATTTTCAAATACTCAGAAATTGAATGTATTGAAAAAGTATATAGCCTTTAATATAGTTGGTAGCTTGTAAGCGATATCACACTCATATCAGTGGTATATGGCTGTATATGGGCACTAGTGGGAGGTGTGCACTGGCTAGAGGGCGCAGGCCGAGTGCCTTAGCATCCCGCCAGTGCCGATATACAGGCATATCGTACTGCAACGAGTGTGATACTGGGTTTATACAACAGTTTGATGGTATGAACATGAATATAAAAAAGAAAATCAAACATGGATATTATTAAAAACCCTTTTGTACGAGGAACTACTTTTTTCCGCCAGTCTATAGGTGCATCCCAAATCGCATAGTTGTGCACTATTCTACGCCATTTTGTAGTGTAAATAGTGTAGGTAGTGCGTTCACACTGAAAACTCTAAAAAGAATAAGTGCACTTTAATTACCCGGATAATGCACTCATTCAACCGGTAAAATAAAGTGTGGAATGATGGACACTTATGTAGTGTTGCGGAAGGGGTTGGAGCTATCGGGCGCACATGTTGGATTACTTTATTTATTTTGTATTGTGAAAGCGAAATTCCCCTATAAGAGTGATTTAACTGCCTCCCGATGGTGAATGCGGTTATATTCATGGCAGGTATTAGATGGTAGTTTGGTCATTTATTTCACTAATATGGCAACCGTCAAAAATCATCAGGGAAAAAGTTTGAAATTCCGCTTAGTAAAATAACCATTAGTGTTCCATTTGGGACAACACTACATACATATACTATGCTGTTGAGTGTTTAAGTGCATAAGTACATAGTGCATAGTGTATAGAGTGCCATTTGGGACGCAGCTATTGACATCTGCAGCTGACCGTCAGAACATCAGAAACCATTGCTACTTTACAAACATGACTTTAGAGCTAGTGCTTGAATGATTCTCTAGCATAATGACTAAAGTAATGACAAAACAGGTTATTTTGTTCACATTTTAAGATTAATAGGCTAAACGGCATGAAATGCCATCAATCTACAACGATTTTACAGGATTTCTCTGTTACAATCAGGGTATCGCAATAGTTAGCCCCGAAAAAGCCAGAGCAGAGCAAACACTTTCAGATTACTATGATATAAATACAGTTTTACAACACACAAAATAGAGAAGTTGACCTAGAATGTCACTTACCTGTTCTGTTATAATTTGTTCTGCTGTAGTTTGAAGCGTACATTAAAAAATTGCTGGTTTTCTACCCTAAGGACTTAGTATGCGGTCTCTGTCACCATCTAGTGGCGGATCGTCAACCATCTTTGCTCTGCTCAGTAAGGCAGGCTAATGGTTGCCAATGTTCTGAATCTCAGAAATTATAAATATTTTAAATAGGCAATTTGCTTATAAATAGACTGCATAGTTGCAATATTAACAACTACATTGTCAACTAAAAAGCCTCAAAATTACATTATGTTGTCCCAACAGCTGCAATATTTCTCAAACTATAGTCCTCTACTCAGGCCCGGATTGGCTAATCGGGAGGACCGGGAGAATTCCCGGTGGGCCGGTCCGTTTTTTGGCCGCGAGGGCCGGTGTCCCTAGCTTCAGAATCTGTTGCTCTCAGCAGTCACACTTTTTAAATTAATTTATTTATTTGACCAGTCTTCTTATTCATTATTTTACCGTAGCTCTGCTCTGTTTATATATAAGTAGCCTGCATAGATTACGTATAGATTACGAAGCTGCCGATCGGGGTTTGATTCTCGTCTGAGTATGTTTTTTTTTTTTTTTTTCTCATTTTTATTGTTAAGACATATAATACTGTTAGAGTTGTTGAACATTTGAAGTTCTAAAGCAGCTGTTTTCTTAAAAAAGACGTGATATTGTAATTAGAAACTGAAATGGAAATGTCCTTATTTTAATATAGTCAGTCGTGAACTGAGGTGGGCCGGTCTGTGGCTTGAAATTCCAGGGCTGAAAAGCAGTCCCACTCCGGCCCTGCCTCTACTTGCTACTCGTGTGGATAGAGTAACGACCCATTCACATGGGGCTTTAGCGTCAACGCTTGACTGAAGGCGTGTCTGAAGTTGTGGCTGACGTGATCGTCATAGCAGCGTCAGCCAATGAAATTCAGTCAGCAAAAGGCCACTTTCTAGCTGGTGTAATTGCATACAGCGATCTGATTGGCTGACGCTTTCGTCGGCACTTGAAAAGTTGAGCTAGTCTAAACTTCTGCAGAAAGCAACGCCTATGAAACGTTCAAGCAATGCCTTGCGTCACCCATTTAAAGTAAATAGGAAGCGTCGACGCTGACGCCGCGTGTGAATGGGGTGTAATACACAAGGTTTGTATGAGTGCTAATATTACTGTAATATCTCATGACTATCAGCCAATCAGATTTGAGAACCAGACAAAACTGTTGTATTAATGACATAATCACATTTAAAATATTCAATTCCATTAAAGTTTATTTTGTAGCTTTTCTCACAATAATTATTGGACATTATTGCATTAAATTTAAATTCAGAAGAGTTAGGGTTAATAGTTATCATAACTTTATTAGTTACTGATAACTTTAACTAATTAACTAGTAAATAATATATTTTAACAGTTAAAGTTATTATATATAAGCATAGTTAACCTGCAGCTATATAAAGGTGACATCTATGTTTGCATGTTCAATAAAGTCTATTCGTGTATGTGCTGTTCTTGAAGTCTTTGGTGTTTGATCCAAGTCTTGGATCTATATGGCACTATATGTCCAGTATTCACTTTCCGTATGGGTACTATTGATCTGGAATAAAATTAAGTGCAATAAAATAATGTAAGCAAATCAAATTTTTTGGTCAAACTGCTCCATTTAAATACTGAATTGCTTTCCAATTTAATATCTCTGAGTCTGAAATGTGCTTTAGTTTCTTATTAGCGCCTTGGAGCATCAGACAGGTGCAGCGGTGCTCTTGTCATGGTTTATTCATTCATTTATTCATGCTCCGAGCTCACTGTCAGCCTGTGGTCTTCAAGAATCCGCCAGCTTGTGCTTTTTGAAGCTCTCGTTCAGTTTGGACAGGGAAGAGCCTCTGTGACTCTTTTTTGTTCAAAGGGGAAGTTTTTCACTGTGTTGTAGCTTTGAAACGAAAGGCTGTGCTGCTGTTTGGAGGAATTCTAACAGGCGATTCCACTTTCATGTAATGGTTTGATTCAGCCGCTTTGATTGTCATATGGTGTAGGAATGGAGTCTAACAGCTGGAATGACAGCGTGAGGTGGCGAATTTTCAGTCTTTTACCCTTCCTTTCTTTTGCTGTGCTCCATTTTAGGAGGTGAAGTGCTCAACAAATGTTACTGAGTACACCCCATTTTGAAAATAAATATTTCTGTATCTATTTCTCAGTGAATATAGGTAATATATAATATAGTCTGCTGAATAAAGTGTTCCCTTTATTTTTTGAGCAGTAAATGTTGGCTTATTAAAACAAAACTTACCAAACATCATTTTAACTCTTTACAGATGAGGAAATAAAATAATAATAATATAAAAATTACAAATAAAATAAGAAAAATAACACAAAATAAATAAATAAAGAGTACTCCCATCATAAACTCTTTTCAGGGTATACATTTTTACATCAAGTTACATTTGAGTTACATTGTAGTTACCTCATATTACATTGGTGGTAGGTTAATTAACCTCTAAATGAAAGGTCCGACCCTTTCTATCTGAACATGCAGCTCAACTCCTTGTTCAAGCTCTTGTTCTCTCCAGACTGGACTATTGCAACTCTCTACTAGCCGGGCTTCCAGCTAACTCTATCAAACCTATTCAGCTGCTTCAGAACGCAG